ACAACCTTCCCATTCCCCATTTCCTCTAAATGATCAAACCATATTGCAACAGTTTTTCCAAAATGTATTTTAGTTTGGAAACTGAGATCTGGGGAGGATCAAGGTAAAAACTGAAGGTTTGTCTTTCAAAGGATGTGTGTGTACATTGGGGGACTAGAGGGGAAGACAGAAGGGAGAAGAGGAGGGAAAGAGAGAGGAAAGTGACTCGACAAGTTGAAAAATGTGGGGGAAAGTACCCCAATAACTGCAAAGCACTAGACCAGCAATTCTGAAACTCTCTGGTCTCAGGACCACTTAACATTCTTAAAAATTATCAAAGAGCCCCAAAGAGCTTTTGTTCATGTGGGCTGTGTCTATTGATATTTGCTATATTAGTAATTTAAACAAAAATTATTACACTATTTATTATTTCATTAAAATAAAAATAACCCCATTACTTGTTAACATAGGTAATATATTTCATGAAAACAAATAACTAAATTAAAAAAAAATTTCATGAGAAGAGTGGTATTGTTTCACACATTTGTAAGACTCTTTAATGTCTGGCCTAATAGAAGACACTGGACTCAAAAATCTGCCTCTGCATCAATTCTCTTGCAATATCATAGTCCTGTGGCCTATGGTAAACCACTGCGCATTCATGAGCAAATTCAAGTGGAAAAAGCAAATAGTATCTTAGTACTATTATGAAAGCGATTTTGACTTTGCAGACTCTCTGACAGTATTTTAGAGACCCTAGGGGCCCCCAGATCACACTTTGAGAATGACTACATTAGTCGAATATTTTAACTTTCTCCCCTTTTTAGAGATAAAAAGGAGAAGTTCTCTCCCTCAGTTCTCTCCAAGTATAAGCATTTTGGTCATACTGAGTGGGATTTTGGAGATTAAGATGGCTGGGTTGGTTTGGTAGAATCCGGCTAGTGAAGACAAGCCAAGAACTTCACAGAGTGCCTAGTCAAAGAACAGCTCGGAAGCAACATCTGAGTGACTGGGATGCTTCCTATGAGAGCAGAGGGGACAGGAGAGTGACAGGGGACAGGAAACTGAGACTCAGAGAGGGGATGCTGTGTGATCTAACAGAGGTCACACAGAGAGTGAAAAGAAAAGCAGCAAAACTTAAGCTTGGGTTTTTCAACCTCTTGCTGAGCACTCTCAACACTAGACTGTATGTGTTTCCATGTGTACAGCGGTGTCTGCCTAACCTGAGGTTTTCCAAGTAATAAGCACAATTATGAAATAAAGTAGAGTTGAGTCAGTCAGGTACTCAGCTTACATGAACATAAGTCTAGGTGCGCTGCGGCTCGCCATGCCTGCCACAACAGAAAGAGAAGAGGGACTGCTAAAGTCTGACCAAATGCACGTGCCATTTCTTTCCAAAATCACATGTGATGCCTGCCAGCTGCCCTGTTACTTGCCACTCTCCTGTCTCCTGTGCTCTCATAGGAAGCATCCCAGTCACTCAGACGTTGCTTCCTGAGCTATGTGCTCCTTGCTTCTATGTGAGAGTGAAGTTTCAGAGATCGTAGGAGTTCTGTATTACCTTGAAAGCCCTCAAATTGCCCATCAAATGCTCTGTTTACCTGCGGTGCTGGGGCCTGTGCTGTCTCTAAGTAGGCTCAGTACAGCTGGTGTTCCCCCATCCAACTGCTGTTTGAAGGATCATGAGGTAAGGGGTGTGAATCTCTGTTCCTTCTACTGGTTCAGGGACCACAGTTCTCTCCAAGTATAAGCATTTTGGTCATACTGAGTGGGATTTTGGAGATTAAGATGGCTGGGTTTGGTTTGGTAGAATCCAGCTAGTGAAGGCAAGCCAAGAACTTCACAGAGTGCCTAGTCAAAGAACAGCTCAGGAAGCAACATCTGAGTGACTGGGATGCTTCCTATGAGAGCAGAGGGGACAGGAGAGTGACAAGGAATGGGGCAGCCAGTGGCATCGCTCGCCAGACACTCCATAGCACTTCCACACATTTCAAGTTTCTCAATTTTTCCAGTGCCAATGCCCACCGCAAAGCATTCTACTCCTTAATATGCCAATATTTCTACTAAACCCTTTACCTTAAAAGCAATACATGCACTTGCTTTAAAAAAAAATGTGCAGAAGAGTAGAAAATGCAAAGCAGAAAATTCTTATTCCCACTGCAGCTTCCACTACAGTACATATCTAGAAGTTCTGTGGTTCCCTCCATAATACTAATACACTTTTATCTCTCTTTCTTGATTTCTTCATTTTAAACAATATTAACTCCCACTAGGGAGCACACACCTATATTTCCTTCTACTTCACTTCCTTGACTCCAAACATGGCCAGGGTTAATAAATTTAGTTTCAATTTCAGTAATTCTATTTTCCATGCTTTTTCGTTAAATTGATTCTAAAAAACAAAAACTAGTAAACCATATTTTCAATGATTGAGAGTGAAGAACCAAGATTTGTGATTAGGCCAAAAGAAGGAACTCTTTTGCCATGAAATCTGTGCCACTTGAAGAGTTTCAACAGTGAAGAGCAAGCAGGTTCTCTGTTCCTTCTGTCAGTTGCTGAGAACCAAGACACATTTTTGTTTCCTTCACATTTGGATATGATTTTATATTTTTCCTAGAGTTTTCTAAGAAGAAAAGGAAAGGCATATGCCAGCATCAACCCCTATAAATTCTTAACTATACAATGTTTGTAATGGAACCCACTTTCTTCTTGAAGACGCTCTTAACTTCTGATTGTTACCAGTTGCCTTCTAGATCTGCTCCTAGTTTTTATAACAAGATTTCTTTTCATTGCTCTCCTGGGTTATTACTACTGGGTTTCTTGGGTCCAATTTTTTCATCACTTCTTGATCATATATTGCTTGGCTAGAAAATATGCTCCAGTAATTGTTCTTTTTGGGAAGGGCAATGTGGGCAAATTTCTTGAGTCCCTGCCTGTCTGAAAATATATTTATTTTACTCTCAACTTAATTATTCACGTGGCTGATAGAGCAGACACTACTGCATGTCGCAGCGTTCATCTACCCCCACCCCATACTTCTCATTATAGAATATTCTTTTATACAGGTATTCTCCCTCTCCATGTGTCCACAGCAGGTAATTCCTGACTGTCAATCATAGTTATCCTATTCCTTTTCAAATTATTGGCTTAGAAATAAGCATGTGATAAAATTTTGTCAACAAAACATGAAGAAAAGTCTGTTACAGCTTTTCTTAAGAGACATAAGAGACCTACTCACCTCCCTCTGGAGACTGTCATTTCTAGATGTAGTACCTGAAACTACTGTGGATATCTTGTTGCCAGAGATGAATTAACGTGAGTACAAGGCCAGCAGGATGACAGAGCAGATGATAGAAGAATCAGGAAACTTGATTGTTGTCATTATTAAGCTGATCAAATTACCAACCCTGGTGATGCCCTACCTCTGAATTTCATATAATACATTTCCTTCTTATTTAAGCCACTTAAGGTTGGCTTTTTGTTCCTTACAGTCAAAGCACCCTAATTAATACAACTGGGTATAGTATTCTTGGTTAACTTTCCTCTAGAACTTTGAAAGCATTATTCCATTATCTATTAGCATCTACTACTGCTGATTACTGAATATGTGAATCTATTTCCCATTTCCTTGTCAATAACCTGATTCTTCCTCTTGCTGAGAGTTTTTATAATATTTATGTTCATTTCCAGAATGGTGAAATTTCATCCAAGTGTGCCTTGTTTTGAGTCCTTTCTCAATTATCCTGCTTAGCATTCAGTGGGCTCCTTTTAATTGAACAACTTGATTTTTTAGATCAGAGAAAGTTTATCCTATTATTTCTTTGATTATTTCCTTTGTAGCAGTTATACAGATATTGGACCTTTTCAAACTATATCCATTATCTTTTACATTATCTCTTATACTTACCATCTTTTTGCACAAGGTTCAGAAAGATTTTTCTCAACTTTATCTTGTCATTTTCTCATTTGGAATTTATCAGTGTCCTTTCTACTCACTTTATTACATTTTAAAAATTTCAACAATCATATTTTTAATTTCTGAGAATTGTTTCTTGTCTTCTAATTAAAGCTTTTGCATAGCAATATGTCATTGTTTTATCTATGTGAAAATCTCTAATCTCTTAATATCTTCATATCTTCTCAGGTGACTACTTATTTATCTTGATATTTGTCTTTTTTTATGTTTATTTGCCTGAGATGTCTTGCAGTCCTTAGCTGACTATTTATATTTATTGATGAAGGACTTTGAGGAAAGTATAGGTAGCTCATGTGAGTTTCCTTTGCAGTTGAGAGGTCTATTTGCTCTGAATATGAGTGCAGACAGTAACCTTTGTGTACAGAGATCCCTCTCTTTGGTAAAACTGGATAGAAAACAGGAATGTGGATTTGGAACTCCCACCACTGTCATAGAAAAGTAGGGAACTTAAATGTATTTCCCTCCTAGTCTGAGATGGCTTTCCTTTTTATACTCTGGCTCTATCTCAAGATTTCCATTGTATCTTCTAGGTCTACTTAAAATATTACTCTGCCTTGCTCCCATGTCCTTTAGCAAATCTTTCATAAGTTCACAAGACAATTCTTAGAATTAAAACTGCTCTATACACATCTAAGAAAGGAAGAAGTTATTTATCCAAAATGTCCTGAGGACATCTTTCCAGTTAGCCACCCAGATTGCTGTCTAAAAGCTCATTCTTATCTTCTGTATGTACCAGTTCCAAGCCTGGAGTTATCTGAAGAAAGTCTCCCCCTCTGCAATACAATCCCCCATTTGAGTTCTTGGCCATGCTTTCCTATTATATGTTGAACGCTTGAAATAATAGAATACAAGCCCATCTAATTTCCACCTTCCAGAAATTTGATGAAATCCCTTGTCCACCCATGGCACTCTTTCCTGTTTTCAGAGCTGTCATGGATTCATTTTTTTCTACATATCTTTAACTGTCATTTCAGTGGGTTCTAGGAAGGCAGGGGAGATAAATGAATGTACTCAAGTCTCTTATTTTGAACCAGAATTCTTAATATATTTCTATTAACACAAATCAACTTTTTATTTCCCTTTTTTTGACAATGCAAGGGGCTTCAGAGTATTTGGGAAGTCCCTGCAATTCTACACCAAATTTGATATGTATGTGCAAATGTGCATTTTTCTAGGGAGAGAAGTCATAGTTTTCATCAGATTCTCAAGTGGTCTGCAACCCAAAGCAGGTTAGGAAACCAAGGGGAAAAAGACAAACAAGTGAATGCTTTTGGGTGCAGTGAAATCCATATAATGTGGGGGGCAATGTGCAATGTGTTAGAAGTAAAAATTGGTATACTGGATTAAAAAAAACTTTAAAAATCTAGAAAAGTGTATAAAGTCAAATACATTTTTCTCAAATTAATTTTAATCAGAACTAATTTCTGTCTTGCTCCTTTCCCCATTCCCTCCAAAGTTATTTCCAAGTAAACCCAGTCACTTCTGGGTAAAGGTAATCATTTTAAGTTTAATCCTGGTCAATTCAAACTATCACACCACTATCACCTTTCCTGCCAGGGTTCTACCAAAAGTGGTTCAGGCATCTGAGCACATGAGGACTGCCCTGGGCTCTGTCACACCACCTTCTTCCCATCCACTCTGTGCTCATTGGTCTTTATCCCCACCAAATCCTTCGCTGATGTCCTTGGTCCTCAGGCTGGCCTTCAGTCCAAAGAGGTCATCTGCACCCTTTTAATCTCAACCAAGAGCTCCTTTGGTTGGCCGGCTCACTTCCTCTCAATCTCTTCTTCCATCTCCCTCTTCACTACTTCAAAACAATCTGGAAGATCAGGAGTTTTGGACATTATCCTGTGCTACTCATTAATCTCAGACATTCACCCTTCCCTTTTGCTGGTGTATTTTTGCTGTTGCTGCACATGATGACACATGGGAACTGGAAGTAAGGTAGTAATGTCGCTGCTCTTGGACTCACCTCACTCCACCTTCAAGCCTCAGCTTAGTGCATAAAGAAAGGACACTGGATCTCTTGCCATGAACCCATGGCCATATAAGCTCTAGCACATCTCCTCTGGTGCTTCCCCATCTCTAGCTTAGGCCATGTGTAGCTAGTTTATAGAACAGGGCACCTTTATTCTTCACGTACACCGGCATATTTTATTGATGTATATTTCTTTATACGCAGACATCTCTTAAATTGGGATGTACCTTACAACTGATAACATTTTAGATTGAGGAAACATGATATTTTCTATCTGTTGTTTATGGCATAGCTTTATGCTGTATTAGTTTTCTAGGGTTGCCATAAACTGGGTGGCTTAAACAACATAAATTTATTGTCTACAGTTCTGGAGGGTAAAGTTCAAGATTGAGGTATTGGAGAAGGATCAAGGTTGATTCCTTCTGAGAGATTAGAAAACGATCTGCCCCAGGCCTCTCTCCTTGGCCTATAGATGGCCAGCTTCTCCCTGTGTCTCTTTAATCTTCCCTTTATGTGTGTCTCTGTGTCCAAATTCCTTTTTTATAAGGACACCCATCATGTTGGATTAGAGCCCATCGTAAAGACCTCATTTTAATTGGGTTACCTCTGTAAAGATCCTATCTCCAAATAAGGTCACATTCTCAGGTATTGGGGGTTAGGATTTCAACATATGAATTTCAGGGGTATACATTTCAACCCATAACACCTTGATTCCTTCAAAGACTGGCTTTTGATGTTCAATCCACAACTCCTACAAATCAAAAGGCTTGCCTGTCTCTGCTATGAATTTTAAAGTATACATATATATAATCTTGATAGGATCTCTGACTGTTTATCTTCAGATTTCTGCTGTAACAATCCAAATGCTTCCCAGGCAGTGAATTAATAAAAGAATAAGGGCTGGGGACAGGGGGCTGGAGGTGGGACAGACAGTAACACTAAGGTATGAGGAGGAAAGAAAGTTCCATGAATATTTCAAAATTTTTCCATCTTCATTAAATCAGCACAAGGTGCCAAATTCAGTGAGTCAAACCTGTAGCAGCCTGCTATTTACAGGGACTGCTTTAGACACTGCTGAAAACTCTCCACAGAAGTACTTCCTAATAGCAAAGGAGTGGGAAGATGCACCAGGAATTTTGAAGACAGAACCCAAAGCAGCTCACCATTCCCCAAAGCATGCCACTTTTACATCTCCTGCTTAACCTTTAAATGCCATGTGAATTTTATGTTGCTGTCCATATTCTTCAAGCCATATTTGGCAACCGTCTTGATAAGGAAGGAAAATTCAAAACAATTTCCCCCCAAAGTTTCAAGTAACATCCCGGAAGATGTGCCCAGTTTATCCTATGATTCCATATGCCTCTGGTCTAATGCCCCATGTTTGAGAAGCACAGATTTCAGTGGAGGAAAAAGGAAGTTCCCAGATAAAGGGGTTTTGTTTATTTCCAGCAGAGAAGGATCTTCATTCTGGCACTGCCAGGATGGCAGTTCTTTTCCACCCAAAGGACAGTGTTTTCTGGAGAGCAGATACATGTTTTGTCCCAGCTGGTGGAGTCTGTAAGGTGAAAGGAAAAAGGCATGCTGCAAAATTAACAATACAGCTGCACTTGAGCAAGGATGCACATACCACAAGGAAAGAAAGAGACCAGGGGCATACGGGTGGGAGTTCGGAGAGGAGAAGAGAATCCAGCAACCTGCCACAGAGCAAAGAAGTTAGCAGGGCGTGCAAAGCATAGGCTGGAAGGCAAAACGAGGAAGGGGAGGAAGGGCAGGAGTAGATTAGGACTTGTGGCAAAGGTCAGCGGTTTGAAAGGATAGTGGGACAACAGCATAAATAAAATTGGGCCAACCGAAATCACCTACAGGCAGAGCTTCAGCTTCGTGGAGTACCTCGAACTGCTTCAGAGAAACAGCTTCCTCTATGGTAGGTCCAGTGCCGCCATTCTGTCCTCTCATTTCCATTAGCTTCTGTGTTGTGACATCTACTCAAGAGAAGTTTCTGAGCACTAATGAAACTGAAGGTGCCAGGTGGTTTCCAGAATTAACTCTTGAGTTCTGTGAATCAATGATAAACGTAGGTCTAAAAATTACTTAACCAACCTTTGAATTAATGCAGGTCAGGGACAAGCATTTTTCCTCAAATTTAATGAGTCAAAAAAATAGTTCCTTGTTGGTTTTAATTTGCATCTCTTGGATTATTCGGCATTGACTCTGAGTGCATCTGGGGCTGGGTTCCTGTGCAGTCTTGTTCGGAAAGGTCCCGATCTGCTGATTCCATCTTTCCCTACCCCGCTCACATGCAGATGTGACAGCAAATACATCTGTTACTGTCAGGCCCACACTGGCCTCCGAAGGTTCGTGGCAGCCACACGAAACAGCAAAGCAGGGAAGTGAGATAGCTTGCACAGATCATACTCACAGAACTCTGGGCTCATGCCCAGTCACATCAAAGCCCAACAGCACCACAACCAAAGCAAAGAAATAAAGCCCAACCCCTTTTCTTCTATTTTTAATGGGGATAATTCTCAGTTCTCTAATTCAGGTGTATAAGGAATGCAACTTTCCTGTTCTCTAATCATCGAATTTACATTTAAGCCCTTCATTTGGTAACTGCACATAAGTCAAAGCTCTCTCTCCCAGCCCCATCTTCCCAGAGTTGGATCTAAATTCCAGGGCCCTACTCAGTGAATGCCAAGGTGCCAGAGGCAGAGGGGCCCCTGCTTCTCCCAGTATCCGCCATCTCCCAGCCTCTGACCACACCTCCTCTCTCCCCTCCAGGCTAGGATCACTGGAGCACCAGGGTACAACAGAAACCTCCTCTGCGAAAAGGCATCCTCTGTGGCTCTCCACACCAACCTCCAAGCCTTCCCTGCCCCTCTGAGGAGCACATCCCTGCCCGAGGCCGCACTGGGCTCTGGGAAATGCCAGGGCTGGGCAGGAGTGCTGAGGGTGTCTGCCTCCAGAGGAAGCCATTTCTGCTTGATTGCTCCATGGCCATATTGGCAATGGAAACAGGACTCATACCACTGCCCTGCTTCCTGGTTCCCCAGAGTTGTGAGGGATTTTCACAGTTACTACCCTTCAGGATTCAGCCTAAATATGGGGTACAGCCTGTCTCCTCAGGGGCCACAAACATCTGCCTCTCCTCCTTCCACTTTCACTCTCCCCTCCCCTCACCAAGGGCACCAATACCCCACTGGGAAGGGGAGGAGGGATTGAGGGTGCTAGAAAAGCTTTCTCTCACTCATCAGGCATCTGTATATGCACTGAGTACTTCGGTGCCCCCATGAGGATGAGGCTTCGGAAAATCAAAAGTTAAGCATTGACTTCTCGATTCCACTATGTCACTTGTCCCCTAAGGTGAAAAATGTGGAATGCCCTAGCTGCCTGGGCAGGGGGATGAGCCATAACTAAAAGGAACTAGAGGGATAAAAACCTCAGTAAGTAACTGAAAACAGCATCCTGCCTCATTCCCCATCATCCTTCAGCTGCCTCCATGGCTATAGCTATGTCTTTCCTTTCATGCTCGGTCCCTTTTGAACTTCTCCCATCCAAAGTCCTAAGCAAAAACATCAAATAATTAGGTGCTGTAATTGCTGGTTGCACAGGGACTGGAGCAAAGGGCAAAGGGGGCTTTCAGCTTAGTCACATGGGGTGAAACAGTATGAACAGTTCAAGGGACAGCAAATAATAGAATGCAGTTATGAAGCAGGGGGCAAGTATCCCATTATGATTTAAAAAGCCATTTGTAAATGGACATCCATATGTGAGCAAATGTACAGAAAAAAATCTTCAGAGGGCAGTGGAATTAGGAAAATGAAAGGCAGGGTGCATGTGGAAGATGAGCAGCAGAAAAAGATGGATAGACAGGCAAGAAGGATGGAAAGAAATGCCTTCGTTAGGAGTTTGATCCTTATCATGAAACTAGTAAAACACAGAATTTAATAATCTCAATTGGTACCTTTCAATTATTAAATCAACACATATTTGTTGTAGGGAATTTGGAAAATATAACTACAAAGATGAACATCATTAGTAACCCCACCCCTAAAAGATAACCAGTATTGACATTTTGGTGTATTTTCAATGAATTTTAACATGTGTACCATGAAAATGTTACTTACATGGGATTATTCTGTGGCAATAACTTCATTTTGCTTTTGTACAATTTTTATTTTCATTGTTTTTCTGCTTGCCAAAGCAATATGTTCATCATTGTAAAAGAAATTCAAAGTGATAGCTTAGAAAGAGAAATTTTCTCATAATCTCATCATCATAATTAACAGTTGGTGTATAGTTTCCTAATATTTGCAAAGAAACACATATTTCTTTAAATGTGATCACACTACACAAAAGTTCATCAACTTACTCTTTCCATTTAGCAATCAGTGTCTCCAAACCATCTGAAGTTTTTCAGTTGATACACATCAACCTCCTTCTTTCTCTCAGCCATAGTATGTTGTATTATACAGGGTGTACCTTATTTAACCAGTGCCCTACTAATAAACATTTAAAATATTTCTAGTTGTAACTATTACTAAAAGTGCTGTGATAAAGGTTTCATACTGATATAATTAACTTTTTAGACTTATGCAAATATTACCTGAGATGAAACTCCTGGAAATTATTAGGTCAAATAGGATGCACATTTAAAATTTTAAAGGGTGTTGCCAAACTCTAAAAATGCTGTAGAAATAGTTCTAACAACTAGGTATGACACTGCTCTTGAAAAAACTGAAAAACCTCAGCAATACTTGGTATTATCAATCTTTTAACATTTGATGATGTGATTGGCAACACAGAGTACATTATATTTTGCAAATATTTTCCTCAGGTTGACATTTACCTTTTGATTTAATTGCAATCTTAATTTGTTTTTCATAAGAATTTTTAATTCTATGCAGTCCAATTTACATTTCCAGGGTTATAAAAATGTTTTCCCATATTTGTGGGATTTTAATTTTATATTTAAATATTAAATCTAACTGTAACTCACTTTGGTTTAAGAACTGAAGAATCCAGAATTTTTAATAAAAATTTTAATGAAGTATAAAATACATACAGAGAAATGCACAAAGCATAAATGTATAGGTTGATGACTTTTCACAAAGCTAATTTCTCCATGTACCAAACAATCTGGTGCAAGAAATAGAACATGATCCACACCCTAGATGTCCCTTTAATTTCCCCTTTTAGTCATTATCATTTCCTCCCCCAGGTAACCACTAACCTGATTTATATCACCAGAGATAAGTTCTGCTTGTTTGGGTGTCTGGCTGCTTCTTCTCAGCATTAAGATTCATCCATGTTTTTCCATGTAGTCATAGATTAGTTCTTCTTATTCCTGTATATATTCCATTGCATGAATATACTATGATTTATTTATCCATTCTACCATCTTTGGACATTTGGGTTACTTCCAATTTGAGGCTATTATGAATAATATGAATGCTATGGACATTCTTATTCATGTCTATTCATATTCATTTCTGTTGGGTATATACCTAGGAATGGAATTAGCAGTATAGAGTGTGTGCATCTTCAGCTTTCATAGATATTACCAAACAGTTTCCCAAAGTAATTGTATCACTTTACACTCACACCAAATATATGAGAATCCAATTATTCTGTGTTCCTGCAAACACTTGGTATTGCCTGAGTTTTTAACTTAGTCCATTCTGGTGGATATTTAGAGATGCTTATTGTAGTTTTAATTTGTATTTCCCTGAGAACTAACAGAGCTGAGCACTTTTTAATGTATTTATTGATCGTTTGAACTTCCCCTGTGTGAACTGTTTACTCAAGATTTTTGTCAATTTTTCTGTTCGGCTATTTGCCTTTCTTTCATTGATTTGTAGTTCTTTACAATATCTGCTACTCTGTGGCTTGTCCTTTCACTCTCTGAATGGTATCTTTTGATGATCAGTAGCTCTTGATGTCAATCTAATCTAAATTATCAGTATTTTCCTTGGGAGTTCATGATTTTGTGTCTCATTTTAGAGGTGCTTTCCTATCCTAAGGATTCACAGCTATTCTATGTTTTCTTCTAAGCTTTATTGTCTTATGTATCATATTTAGACCTACTATGTAGCCTCAGTTTATTTTTGTGAATGATTTGAGGAAAAGGTCAAGATTCATTTTTTCCATCTGAATGTTAGTTAAATTGCACCAGCACTATTTATTTAAAAGATATCCTTTCTCTACATTTTAGTATCACTTTTGTTAGTCAGGTGATCATAAAGGGTTTCTTTGTAAACTCTTAAGATTCTCCACTGGGCCATTTGTCTGTTCTTACACAGACAGCATACTGTCTTAGTTACTATAACTTCATAACAAATCTTTATATCTCATAGTGGAATTTCTCCTAGCATTGTTCTTATTCTTCATGATTATCTTGACTAATTTTCCATACAAATTTTATAATCGGTTTGTTAATGTCCATTTTAAAAGTCTATTGGAATTTTGAATGGTTTGCATAATTTACAGATAAATTTGGGGGAACTGACATATTTACAATATTCAGTCATCCAGTGTATATCTCTCCATCTACTTAAAGTCTTATTTAATTTCTATCAGTATATCTTCCCATTTTTGGTGTACAAATCTTGCATTGTTTTTTGAGGCTATTTTCTCGGTGTACAAATCTTGCATTTATTCCTGTGAATTTGATGTTTTTTGAGGCTATCCCAAACGGTATTTTTTAAATTTTATTTTTTACTTTTTGTTATTAGTATACAGAAGTACAAGTGATTTTTATATATTGACCTTGTATCTGTTATTATGGGGAATTACTTTGATTTGTTTTCTTTTTATTAATTAAAGTATAGTTGATATTATGTTGGTTTCAGGTATACCCCTGACTTATTTGCAAATGTCAAACTATACTTGAATTCCTGGAGCCTATCCCACTTGATTATGAAGTATTATCCTTTTTACATATTGTTTAATTCATCTTGATTATCTTTTGTTTAGGATTTCTGTACCTATATCCATGAGAGAGTTTGGTCTTTTTTCTTTTTTCTTTAATATCCTTGCCAGGCTTTGGTATAAAAGTTCTTTCTTGAGAATGAGCTGGGATGTGTTATTTCTTTTTCTGTTTTCTGGAAGAATATGTAAAGATTGATGTTATAACTTCTTTTAAACATTTGGAAGACTTTACTGCAGAGACCATCTGGGACTACAGAGTCTCTTTGTTATCTCTTTGGTGGGAAAGTCTTTAATAATGAATTAAATTATTCAATACATATAGCTCCATTTGGATTTTCTAGTTCTTGTGTTAGTTTGGTATGTCAGGCTTTTTAAGGAATTTGTTTATTTCATCCAAATTGTCAAATATATTGGCATAAAACTCCCCATAATACCTATTCATAGTCTCTTTTATCCTTAAATGTCTAACCAGTTTTCTCAAAACTGCTTGTTGAATAATATATCTCTTATAAAAGATGATATACTATCTCTGTCATGTATGAATTTAATTTAATCAGCCATTCAAAATTATATATTTATTCAGACTATGACCCAGGCATTATTTCATTTCTAGGAATGTAGCTTTAAATAAGACAACATGCCTACATCATAAAGCTTACAATTAGTAAAAAACAGACAATAAACAGGATGATAAGTGCTCTGAAGAATATAGCAGGATAAGGGTCAGGAAGAGGAAAAGGAAGGACTATTTTACATGTAAAAATCAGAGAGATCCACTTGGAGGAGGTCATATCTGATTCAAAACCTGAATGACGTGGGGGAATTGAGCCACAAGAAAACCAGAAAGAAGTGCACTTGGGCAGAAATGTACTTGGGATGTTTCAGGAAGAAGAAAGAGGTCAGTGTGACTGTAGCAGAATGAGAGGGAAAGAAGCAGAAGATGAATTTAGAAATCTAGGCAAGGGCCAAATTATGCAGAATCCTATAGACCATGGTAATGATTCTGAGTATTCTAAATATAAAGGGAAAACATTAGTTTTGAACAGGCAAGTAACATGATCTGATTTATGTTTTAATAGATTCCTCTAACTAATGTATGTAAAATAGTCTGCAAGGTTGGGGGGAAGAGTATAGAGGTCAGTTAAGAGGCCACTGCAACAATCCAAGCAAAGGATGGGTACAGCTTGGACTATGGTGGGAACAGCGGAGGTAAGAAGTGGTCAGACCTGGGCTATGTTTTGAATGTAAAGTTCATAGGACTTCCTGATGGCCTACACGTGGAAGCTAGAGGAAAGAGAAGAGTCAAGGATAACTCCTTAGTTTTTGGCCTGAGCAACAGGGTAGATGGTAATGCCCTTTTACGAGCCTGAGAATAAAGGGAAAAGAGCAGGTTTGGTGTAGCGAGGTTGAAAGTCAGGAGTTTGGTACAGGACAAAGTTTCCAGGTCCTATTAGAAATTCAAGTGGAGAATCAAAGTGAGCAAGTAAATATACGAGTCTGAATCTCAGAAGAATGATGAAAACTAGAGACATAACCATAGAAGTTATATTAAAATAGATATTTAATACCACAAGATGGGAAAAGTTCATCTAGGACTAGAGAAGAGGTCCAAAGCCTGAGCCCTGGGATGCTCCAACTTAAACTGGGAAGAGATGATCGGTAGCAAAGAAGACTGAGGAGTATCCAAAGAGGTGAAATCCCATATGCATGTGAGTATCTTTCTGAATTCTCCACTCTATCCTCCTGATCTTTCTGTCTATTCTTGTGTCAGTTTTGATACTGTCAACCCAATATACATACACAAATAACAGACAACCCAACTCAAACTGACTTAAGCAATGAAAGAAAAAACAGGTGTGGTTCCAATAATGTCTCTTCGTTGCTCTGCTACACTCTCCCCCATAGTGGCTTCATCATTGGTTCCATGTAATAATAAAAAGGCTGGGGTCCCACGGCCAGAAGAAGAAAGAATGATGCTGGGCAGCATGACCCACAGATATCCACAATTTCTCTGCCAATACCTTAGATAATTACTTTATCTATGGATACATTTTTCATAACTAGGAAGGCTTTTATGTTTACATCACTACAATTCTTTTTCAAATATTGTCCAGCCATTTATGTTTATTCTTAAAGAATCTATACTTCTGATCTGTTTCCCTCCACTCTAGTTATATCGCCTGCTTCCCCAAAACACCTTAAAGTTTACTTGCCTACAAAGCATGCTTCATCCTCATCCTTCCCCTAGAATACTTTCTTCTTGTCTCTTTTCCTATCCACAAATGTATCTCCTTTAATACGTTTTGAATGTAGATCAAATCCTTCCTTCTCCATGATATTTTTCCCAATTACTACATCTGGACCTGTTCTCTCTGCCCTCCTATACAATTTTATAGCATAAATAACATTTTTTCAAGTCTTTTTGCCTATTCGCCTGTCTCCTAACTGGACTGTACTCCTTTGTATTTCTATATACTTTCAGCAACATGCCCAATCCTAAGCACACAGTCTCTGCACTGAATTAATATTTTTTAACAATTGGCTGATTAAGCTACTCCCCTTATTTTCTCTTCTTTTTCTCTAAGGAATGACTAGGAACAGATGAAAGAGCAATAAAGAAATAATGGTTGTGGTTTGTGACATGAATTCTTCTCTGTGGGTGAACACCCATCATTTGAGAATGGTCATAAGCCATTATTGTAGAACACCCTGGGTGCTGAAGCTTTGGTTTCAGGCACTGTGCACGGTGCAAGGATACAGTGATGAGTAAAATAGACACAGTTTCTGCCCACATGAAACTTACAAATTTCTTTTCCAGTGTTATAACTAATCTTCCACTCTTTTCATAGCAGTTTTTAACTATGATTTTTAACTAAGGATTCAAAACAAATCCTTAATTTTAATGTAATCATTTTTCTCGATCCCTTTTTAAGTTAACATTAATGCATTTTGTATCTTATTTAAGAAGTCCTTCCCATGTGGGGATCACGAAGATATCCTCTTACATCATCAAAATCTTTATAGTTTTCTTTCATGTTTAAGTTTTTAAATCCCTTTGAAATAGATTTTTATGTATTGTGTACAGTAATAGTCAAATTATGTTTTGCCCATACGCATATACATGCATCCAAGCACCATTTGTTTGAAAGTTCAGTGTTAATCTATCGTGCATCCTCATAATCAAGAGTCCATAAATGCAAACATTTGTTTCTAGGCTATTTTGTCCTGTTGGATTATTTGTTTATCCTTGAATCAATACCACTCTGTAGTTATTACTATAGCTTTATAGACTTGACATCCACAGAGCAGGTCCTCTGACCTGGTTCTTTAAAATGTCCTAGCTATTCTCATCTAAAATATCTTAGCTTTGATTGTGGATATTTCTATTTCTCCTTAAAGTTCTGTCACTTATTTCTTTATATGTTATGCTATGTTATTAGATACACACAAATTTCAAACTGTAATATTTTCCTGGTGAAAAGAACTTTTTATTCCCAATTATGTTTTTAACTGTAATGTCTGCTTTATCTGCTATTGTGCTTATTATTTGATGGCAAATATTTTTCTATCCTTTTACTTCTACTCTTCCTGTTATATAAAACTATAGTTTCATGTTATAGATGAGTCTTTCTCAACTACTGGGATATTATATACTCTACTTCTATTCTTTCCATGGTTATTCTAGAAATTACATATTAACATATTGTTAATGTATATAATAATATACATTGTTAACTTAATCTAAGAATAATCATTCATGCTTACTCTCTTTCCAGGCAATACAAATCTCAGAATCCTCTTGATTACTTCTACTACCTTTCTTAACTTAGATGCTTTCACTGTCTTATTTTCAATTCTCTAAATTTTAGCCCATAAGATATTAAAATTTTGTTTTACACATCTTTGCTCATCTACACTTACATTTATCCACATGTTAATCTCTTTCTAAAATCCTTCATTCTTTATTATGTCTCAGCTTTTTCCATCTAGAATTACTTTCCTTCTGCCTAAAGTATTTCCCTTTGTAAAGCAAACTTACTAAAGTGGTAGCAAACTCTTCATTCTTCTTTACATAAAAAGTCTTTACAATGCCATTTTCTTGAAAGGTATTTTGTGCATAGAATCTAGTTTCTCAGTTATTTCTTTACTGATAGCATTCCTTGGTCTTTTGGCTTCCCTTATTGGTACTGAGAAGTGTGGAAATCACTCTTTTTAAGGTAGTATGTCTTTTTCCTGGCTACTTTTAGGATTTTCTCTTTACGTTTGGTACTCTGCTTATGAATTTTTGGCTTGATATATTTTATCAGTTCTGGAAAAATCTCAGTAATTACATCATCAAATAGTTGCTTCTGACCTATTCTCTTTCCCCCCCTTTCCTGAACTCCAATTTAAGGCATGTTAGAACCTCTCACTCTATCCTCCAGGTCTTTCAACTCTCTTCCACATTTCCTGTCATTTTGCCTCCCTGTGCAATATTCTGGATAATTTTTTAAAACTTATCACCTAATTTGCTAGTTCCTCTTTGATGTTGTTTAACATGTTATCTAATGGTAAACCATTAAGTTTCTACATTTCAGTTTTGCATTTTTATTTCTAGAAGTTCTACTTGGTCTTTTTCAAAACTGCCAAGCCACTTTTAATTGTTATCCATTCCCTGAAAATATTTATGCGCTTACTTCTATTTCAATGAACATAATAAACATAGTTATTTATTTGCCTCTGATCATTATAATACATAAAGAATCTGTGAATCTGGATTTTTTTCTTTCCATTGATTATTGCTGCTGGCTCCCTCATGTTTTGCCTCCTCGTGTGCTTTGTTCTTTATGAGCGTACTGCTCAATGACCCTGGGGAATGAGGAAGATGCCTTCCTCCAGAGAAGCCTCACACTTGATTCTGCCGGATGACGAGGGCCGGGAGGGAGTGGCATTAGCCACCGCGAATGACTTTAAACTAAACTCATGGCTTGAGGTTCTCTGAGAACAAGGTGATGCATAACAGTCCTCAAAATCTGTCCAAGGACTGGCCGGTGACCACAGCCTACCTTTGCTTTCCCTCTCCCTCTTCTCAGTACTCGGGCAACCTTCCCTGCTGTCTGTCTGCGGTACCTGGGAGGCGAGGTTCTACTTCTGGTTCACATTACCCTGAGTGGTTCCAGCTTTGTACGGGGACAGTCTCCTGTGAGCCTCCCCACCCTGGGTAAGCCATGGATTTTGGCTTCTAACCAACTTGTCCTGCAAGGGTGCCAAAACCAAGGCCCCATTATTAGGATCCATGAGCCATCTCAGGGAAAAAGCAACGGAAGTGTTCCAGTAACCTGCACAGTCCTCTAGGTTCCCACGTCACCACAGAATTTGGCCTGATGTTCCTTTTTCTCTTCTCAGCACTTTAGTGCTTTTAAGGAAATTTAAATGTTTTTAATTGAAAAAATATATCCAACATTTTAATATTTTTCAGTGGGAACTCTGATCCAAATATTCTTGCCTCCCATTGTCAGAAACAGAAGTCTACCATTTCCTTCCTTCATTATCACTGAATGAGCTTGTCTTCCTTGGCAGATGCAGTATTTCCCTGGGTTCCTCTTGGCAGGGGAGTGCAGGATGGCCAAGATGCTCTTTCCGAGGACCTAATTTCACAATCCAAAGGCTCTCTTCCTCCCTACTACCATAGAGACAGCATACTTCCTACAAATATGGTGGCTTGCTATGTGATTTTTTTTTATGCAATCCCACTTTTTTTGCTTCTTCGAAACAAGCTACATCTAGGACAGTATCTTCTACCAGCTGTACATCCAGTTCCCACAAAAACTGGTACAAGCATAGGATATGTCTTTTATATATCAGGGTACACATTTCACCTAAAAGAATATAACTCTTCTGGTACTTTCTAAGATCTATTGCTGCTGGGCTCTCTCACCGTTTCCATGCTGCTTCTCTTCATTTACTTCCACATGGCTTCCACCTGATATCATCTTTTTAGGACAGTGTTTACACACATTTTAAAGTCTACGGAATAAATTTCTCTCCTAATTTTGCTGGAAATAGGATAGTTCCCAAGGTTTTCATTATTTTTTCACCTTCCTTGCGGCCCTTGAATATTTTTCAGTAAGAGAAGGGGAAATGCCAATGAACACTGCAATGTTTATGCTCAAAAGTTGGAATCACCTTGATTTCTCTCTTTCTCCCACATCCAATACCAAATACATAATCAAGTCCCCGTCAAAATATATTCAGAACTGGTCCACTTCTCACCACCTCCACCTCTACCTTAGTCTAAGCCATCACTATATTTTACATGGACTATTACATTGCTTCCTAGTTGTCCTGCGTTCACCTTAGCTGTCTCATGGTCTAGTCTCTACACAGCATTGACATTTTTCAAGTCAGAATCCAGACTGTGCCACTTTCTCTCAAAATCTTCCAGTGGCTTCCTCTCTCACTAGAATAAAATCCAAAGTCTTTAACATAGTTGTGAGGTCCTACATTTCCTCCATCTCCAGCTCTCCCATTGTTTGTTGCATTCCAGCCATAATAATCTCCTTGCTGTTCTTCAAACAGGTCAAGCATACTCCTACCTCAGGGCCTTTGCACTTGCTGAGCCCTCTGTAGGGAATACTGCAACCCTAGGTGTACTCATGACTCTCTCCTTCCTTCATTCATATCTCTGCTCAAATCTCACTTTATCAAATTTATATAACTTATTTGTTTGGAGTCCTTTTTTTCTCCCACCAGAATATAGGCTCTATAAGAACAGGCCCTTTCTCTGTTTTTGTTCACTGACATATCACAAGAATCTAGAACAGTGCCTGCCATTATAGTAAACACTCAATAAATATCACCAAATGGATGCTGTGGCTGCAGAGGAACCAAGTGCAAGAAGTACAGTGGAAACAAAAACCAGGCAGCTCCTCCCTCCCTGCTGCCACGTGGTCTCTCGCCTACCTGCCACCCAGCTTCTTTGCTCACTCATCCACCCTTTACAACATCACCATTTTCAGCCTCTGTCTACAGGTCCTTTCTGCCTGAGGCTCCTAAGCTCACTGATTCAGTGTCCAAATCCCAAATAGCTGATTGCTCTGCCTTAGTTGAAGAACTCATCCAGAGTCCAATTAGCCATTGCTGGGGGCTGGAAAGGAGGATGTGGATGTCTGTTCACATGCCTAGTAGAGTTACTCTCTAGGCTCACCACAAAGACAGAAGTTGCTGGAGAGCTTTAATTCAAATACAAAACAAGCCTCCACTAATATATCCTTGACATTGGCAGAGAAAATGTTTGTAACTTCCATAAGGGTGCCCCTCACTTCAGAGTCCTGGCAAGTAACAGAAATGAGTGAAGAGGGCCAGGTGGTAAAGATGGGTACATCCAGAAGAGTGGCCACTATAACTAATTATTGCCAAGGAAGAATGTAGTACTGGTGTTGCCAGATCTGATGGTTCAAGAGGAGCCAAAAAATTTGGAAATTTGGAAATTTTAGTGTGAAATCCCCCACTTTTTAAATGATGACAGCTAATTCAATTTCTAAAAAATAAAACACTGTCAAGACCAAATAAAACACATCTGCTGACCAAATTTGGCTCAGGGCTACTGCATACAATTCTATTTTATATAATCAGCTCAAAAAATAGGACACAGGTAATTTATCACAGTCAAGAACAGTGTTTCCCAGGGGGAACTCAGTGAGAAGAATTCATTAGCTAGAGTAACCAGAACTCTCAGCCCCCTCTCATAGCCCCTGCCCCCATCTTCTCTACCAGTCCTCATACGAACTCCCACCAACCTTAACCATGAGAGACAAGGCTTCATGGAAAACATAGGGTTCGGAATCAAACAAATCTGGGTTAAAACCCAATGCTACCTCCTAGTATCTCTTAACCTCTCTAAACCTCAGTTTCCTCAGTTGCAAAATGGGAATGCTAATTCCTACATAGAAGAGTTCTAAGGAATAGAGTTAAGTAAGTAAAGTGCCTGGTATATAATAAAGGCACAGAGAAAATAACGATTATTAACAGACTGGAAGCTGCCCTCCCCATAGAAAGGCATGATACCTGAGACTCTCTGATTGTGATACTGGAACGTCCTTAATAAGCTAATGCCATTTAAACCTCTATGTGGAATAAGGAGAGGGTAAAAATGCATTTAGTAAATAAAATAAGAATAGGAAACACAGCCATTCAGGAGCCTGCATCTTCACACTAATGTAGTTGTTTATGAACCTAGTCCAGAATATCTACATTTGTGAAAACAGCGCTAATTAAAATTCATAGGCATCAATTATCTGATTATTCAAGAACTCTCTCAACTTTTGAAGCCATTTTTTGTATACATATTACAACACAACACTGAGTCAAGTAAATGCATGCCAATTCTCCAATAGCCTAAAAAAAAAAAAATTAATCCTGTAGCTTAGGGAGACACAACTGCGAAAAGAAAGCTCTGTTTGCAAAGTGTAAGTAGCAATGCCACCTCCATCTGGTGTGGACTGCCAGTGGTCAGAACAGGACAGTCCTACATCCACTAATAAATGCAGGGAAGCAACTGCAGCAAATAAGAATCCACAACCACTAGAAATAATGCCACAATCACTCACCTCTACCCAGTCTGAGCTTTCCATGGATGAGGTCAATTATTGAAGACCCAGAGGGCCCCAGTCAGAGGGCCACGCAGAACACTAGGCTTCATACCACACAGCACACACCTGGAGGGTCATGAAACAGGACAGGGATCTTCCTAAAAGGAAACATGCAAATGAAGCTCCCTCAAGGAACTGAGAGTGCCCCCCACTGCAGAAACCAGGAACACATTTCCACCAGCAGAAGACTCAAGTAGGCTTCTCCGCCCATGAGCCTTAAAAAGAAACTTGTCTCTGATCACCTGTACTTTCCCTCCAAAAAGAGCTCGGCCCAGATGTGCCTGGGCCTATTCCTATTTCTCAAGCTCTCAGGGCTTGTATAATCATGCATTACATAATTATAATTGTATAATCCATGCAATTTTGCAGGAAGCAAAATTGTCCATTATCAATTTTCCTCTGGGGAGACCCAAGTACTGGAAAATCACTTACCTCCTTCACTGTTAAGGCTCTTCTCCTAGTAGGCAGGTAATCGGTAATTATTTAAGCTATTTTCTAGGTTTAAAAAAAAAGGTGGAAGGGAGTCTAAACTAGGTGGAGTGTAGATCAAGGCTGGCCAGGAGCTAACAATCATTGAAGTTGGGCATTGGTTAAATAGGGGTTTATCATACTCTTTTCCAATTTTTGTAGACATTTGAAATGCTCCATAATAAAAAAGCTTTTAAGGCAGGGTTGGGGGGAGGACACAGATATAACCTGAAAACAAACCAAGTGTTCTTCACTATACTCTCTGGGTCTGGACACAGAAAATCTGAATGGTGTTGAGACTTTCAGATGAACAGCCTAGAGGGTTCATGTACTCCCAGAGCAGAGACTGTATCTTCTAAGCACCACACTCAGTGTCTTCAACAAAACCACCTTTGAAAAATTTCCTAGAACTTTGCAAAATTATTCTGGCAAGACCCAACTTCTCTTCTTGGCCTAAAAACCCTTCTGCCTCCACAAATTACTCTTACAGCTCCATCCCACTACAAGGGCCTCTACTTCCTGTTCCAAACTACTATGTTGGGCAATCCAGTTATTGAAATAGTTCCTGGGTGGCAGACAAATGCCTGTGTTCTGGCAGCTTGTAGAGTTGGTTCTCCCTCCTGGGGTCAAAAGCAAGGGTGCTGTTATTGCTTCCAGGGAGTCAAGGAACACTCTGACTCTGTATTTCCTCCTTCCTCATCCCTTCAATTTGCTCTTAATATTCTTAATTTTTTTATTTCAGTGGAGTTTTCAACTTCACTATTAATATTTGGGACTGAAGAATTTCTTGTTGTGAGGGCCTGTCCTGTGCATTATAGGACGTGCAGCAGCATCCTCCGTCTCTGCACACTAGGTGACAGGAGCACATACCCCACTCGCAGCTGTGACAACCAAGAATGTCCCAGACGGTGCCAAACATTCTCTAGGGGGTAAAATTGCCCCTGATGGAGAACCACTGGTCTGAAGGATATTGAAAATCCAAAACCAATATCGTCTTGGCAAAAAAAATTGAGATTATACCATCCATGTCCCCATACACTATAAGACCACATATTTCAACTTAAAAATTTGAAAGTATGAATATTTAAGACATGTTGCATCCTAAGCCAGAAATACATAAAATAACAAAAAAAAATGAACTAATAACACTCACAACTATTTGTCCTGTCTTTGTGGTTTCCTGTGTGAATCTTATTTGGTTCCCCTAGATTCTCCTGTTTGCCTGTCAAGGCAACAATCATCTCACCCCAGCCCTCCTTGAAGTGCCACACCATCTGCCCCCACTGGGAGGAAATACTTCCAATGAGCCTCTGAGTACTCCCCATGAGGTGTGCTGAGTCTTAGTATACATATAACAGGTGTCACTGGAGAACAGAATCCCCCAAAGGAAGACATTCCAGTGAAATCAGGAAAATAAAACTTCACCAATGTGTCTTCCTGATATGATTTCAAATAATACCAGACTCCCAGTGTGACCGAAAAGTGTAACATGAAGCCAAACCATACAGTATAAGAGGTTACACCCAAGGGGAAATATTGTTATATTTCTTCATTAGGCAGAAGGAGTTTCCCATTATATTAAATGGTACACTCCCCTCTTGAGAAGAAAGAAGATCTGTTTTCCAATCTGCAGAGGCCTTCCATTACCACAGTCTATTCTTTGGTTCTGTGGATGGACACGCATAACTGTCTCTCCTCCCCACCCCACCAGACTTCCCAGGTCCACTCGGTGGTACTCCCAATGCTCCTCTCATCCAGGCAGATGTTGACTTGTTCCCCCTCCCTGATGCCTGTAGGCATTAAGTACAGGGGATTTTGTCTTTTGGGGTCCATTCCTTCCTCTGCAATCCCTTGTCACCACCTATCTCAGTCTAGATCACCTCTATCCTGGATTCTGGTCAAGGCCTCCTAACTGGTCTCCCTGGTTTGGGGTCTCCCCTCAACCCAGGTTTCACACCAATGATGATCTTTCAAGAGTACAAGGAAGAAGGGTCCAGAATCCTGCAGTATCCCATTCCCTACCACTGGATACAATCCCAGCTTCTTTGGCACATGGGTTTGTGAAATATACCAAATGTTTGACCCAGGAGGTGTCTGAGCAGAAGCAGGATAAGTCCTGAGTGGGACAGCGAGCACACATGGGGGATTTATCCCCTGGATAGATGGTGGAAGGAGAAAGGAGTACAGGGTATTAAACTCAATGACCTGAAAGTTTCCTTTCAACCCTCCCTTGCCCCAATTCTGGAAACTCCTGAGTCTGCCATTCAGGCCCTGCCATAATCTGACCCCATGTCTCCTGCAAAGTGATGACAAACAGTTCCCTAGAAATGCTCTTCATGTAGTTCTGCATATGGTCATCATAATTCTATAGGATGACTTCTGGTTGTCTTTTATAGTTTTAATTACATAAGGAACAGTGCTGGTGGCAACACACTATAACAGTGAGGTGAAGTGTTAAGATGGAGTCTCTCAACCATTGCCCTTGCATGGCAGCCCCTAGCAGCATAAAGTGCGTGCCTTCCAGTCTTTCTTCATGACACACAGACATGTGTGCAAACACACTCTACTCATTTGACACTTGATCTAATACTGTGCCCTGGGGAGGAGGACATTTAATTCTTACATGCATTGACTCATCTCTCCAGCTCCCCAGG